CCACCAAAGCAGGTACCCAAAAAGTCGACTTTTTGGGTACCTCCCAGATTTACCATCGGACGTCAGCTCTTGCATGAACCCCGTGACGCGTTGGGTTCTGCGGCCTGTGGGGCCGCAGGGCGCTGCCCATGGTCTAGGGTACATTCAAATGCCACGCGTATCGGCGCCCGGACTTGTGCTGAATCGATCGGTTTCTCCCGGCGACCCAACCCATTACCACCAAAGCAGGTACCCAAAAAGTCGACTCGGCGCCCGGACTTGTGCTGAATCGATCGGTTTCTCCCGGTGACCCAACCCATCACCACCACAGGAAGCGCTAGAAAATTCTTGGAAAAGCATCCAGCCGAAAACATAACAAAATCTAGACAAAGCCTAGAGCATTCCTAGGAAAATTCCAGAAAAGCCTTTGAAAATCTCATAAGCCAACAGAAAACGTGACAACATCTACGAAAAAGCAAAGGCATTGGCCGGGACCACGCCGCGACCAGCCCGGGATTCGAGCCCAGGACCATTTTGGACCGTGCTTATTTTCCCGCGCGGGTCGAGAGGGTGCCCCAAGATGTAAATCAATTGGGATAGCAGAATCTTGGACAATCCAGGTCGCTTTCCCGGAGAATTCCAACCGGATTTCGTCACTGCAACAAGGGTCCGGAGGGGTAGGGGAGGTAAGGTCTAGGTCTAAGGCTAAGGACTAGGTCTAAGGCTAAGGATAAGGCTAAGGCTTAAGTCTAAGTCTAAGGCTAAGGCTAAGGCTAAGGCTTAAGGCTAAGGCTAACATCGACAGTCACGCCTCACCCCACGGTGTGGGGTCGGCGGATATATATATGGATGTAATGCATGTGTTAGACAGTTATTTAGACCTAGTATAGCAACTATGGGGGTCACCCATTCCAGGATGGCCGTAGCAGACCTGCCATCGGGAAGTTTCTATTGACCCGAACAGCAGTCCGCAGCTCCGACGGTCAAAGCCGGTCTGGATTGCGGATTGGATGGCGCCGCGCGACTTCCATGACGTCCGCGTGAACAAGAAGCGCTGCGCATCATCAGCGTGGGACCAAACATGTGAGCATGTGAGCTTTGACTTCCAGGTGGCTGCAAATCACCAAATTTATGGTTGGACCAACTTCTTATGGACTCTGAGACGCGGAAGGTGTTGGAGTGGTCCAACGGATCCGCAAAAACCGCTTTCCCACGTGCGCAACTGTGCGCAGCCTTTTCGAAGCACAAAGCCAGAAGTCTCCTTCGGCGATTGCCATTATTGTGGGTGACCAGGAGATCTCATAATTATGCTACTTTCAACCTGATGTACGACCACCTCGCAGCCAACCTGCGATCCATGGGCTGTGCCAGCGAATCGCTTGTAGCGTTGCTCTTCGAACGTGGTCTGGAGATGATGGTTGCAATCTAAGGCACTTTGAAAGCTGGGGGGCGTATGTGCCCATGGACCCACAGTTCCCGCAAGACAGAGTCGATTCAATCCTTGCAGAGGTTTGTGCCCCAGCCTTCCTCAGCACCATGGGCTTGCGAAGGTACACGGTGCGCTGAAGAGTGGGCAGGAAGGCGCGGAAAAACTCAAGAGACCGCACAGGGTGCGTGGTGCATCCGAAAGGGAAGCTGGCAGCATGTGATACGTCAGCCGACGGCACAGGGAGCTTCACTACAGCTGCCATCGCTTGCTCCCAAGTGTTGCCCAGATTGAGAGGATGGCTTGCTGACAGGGACTTACTATGTATATACACAGAAAATATATCCAGTTGGTTCAAAATTCCAAGCTGAAGTTGAGGCTTGTCGTGAAACCGAATCAAGATCCGCGTGTCAGCTCTGCACATTTTAGTTGCAGCTATTGCACGTCCAGCGAAAAAGACAAACATTTATCGAATTGTCGTGAGTGCAGTCTGTTCATCTCAATCACGGATGCTACCTGCTACCACACTTTCTTGTGCAGAATGTGTCCAGCAAAGGGAGGGCCTGTTTGAATTGTCATGAGGCAGTCTGATCATTCAAGACTCAGCATGCACTACATGACAAGCATTGATGCTACCAGACTTTCTTGTGCAGAATTTGTCAAGCCGAAGAAGTGAGAGATTTGCTCTGTCAAAATGCTGGCTCGAGCTGTGCTCTGGTTGCCCTCGCAACACATGCTAGCAGCTTTGCCTCGAGAGAATCGTCTTCCGATCATTCCTCAATTCAGGCAGGCAGACATTTGTAAAAGATACATTTCTTAAGCCAAAGCCAAAGGCCCTGCTTAAGTCATTTAAAGAGTTTCTTCAATCGCAGTCTGGGTTCTACATGATTTTGCTGAAGAGCCTTTGAGCATTACGGGCTGACAGCTTGCGCCTTGCTTTTTTAAGGCTGACAGAGGGGAGACCATGCCTGACGAACATCTTAGAACGCAAGCGCTGGCGGACAGTTCTGGGTTTGGGATACTTGGCTCATTATTGGAAGGCGCTCACTGCTTTTCAGAAGCTTGAAGTTTCAGAGTTTAAAGGGCTCACAGGATTTTTCTGCTCAGACCTTGACAGCTCTGTGTTCATGCGATAATGCCCCCGGTAAAAGTAAATCGCTGTTGACCATGTACTGAACATATCTGGAAATCGCTTCTATCTTTTTTTTGGGGGGGCCTCGCCTCCGTAGGCAACTTTTTGTTAATTCGAGGGTTGGTGAGGGTGGCATAGAGGTTCATTAAGCTTGTGGAGCCGGGGCCGCTCTTGCCGAAAGTGTGTTGCTGAGGACATTGAGGCGGGCCTTAAGCCTTAGTGAATCGCTTGATAGCTTCAGGGACTCCACTGTATATTACTGCAATATTGTTTAGGCTCGGGCAATTGTTTAGTGGGATCAAAAAAGGCGTTTACTGTCTTCTTTTCCAAAATGCACCAACTTTTCTATTGTTTTGTTAAGGTCACACATTTACACATTGTAACTTGAACACGGACGTGGAAAATGAAATCCTATCTATATAATTTGGATCAGTGCACAGGTTGAGTTTCAACGGTGCAGAGAGTAGTGTTTGGATAATGGGTGTCTTCTCGATGAACTTGTTTCCCTGGCTGAGATGATCTTGGATAGCACTTTCTGGTTTCCGTTCCAATCCTTGGCCTCTTTGTCCAGTCGAGGGCTGCTATTTGGTAGGCCAGTAGGCGCGAATGTCAAGCAGGTTTGCAAGATTGCTGTTGCGGGCAGGTGGAATGCCTTTTCTACTGCCTGGCACGAGTGCCTAGCGGCTTCGAGCGTGTGTCCGTCATCGTGGGTCCAGATGCCACGCGGGTGATGTTCATTGATCGGAGCGCCTTGGCAATGTGGCAGTGTGAGCAGTTCACTGGCAATGGGATGACACTGCCATTGTGGGTACAAATTTGCGCGCTGCTTTGCAGGCCCCGCCTGCCGTGGCTCTATGCCCGATATGAAGCTCGGGATGACACTATCTTTGAGCTGCTTGCCAGCTGGCATCAGTTTAGATTGACATTGCGATCAAATCTCCAAGGTGCAGCAATCTTGATGAAACAGGACATAGAAAATCCCAAAGCGCAGCAGCATCGAGTTGTTGAAAAAGATCCACCCACAGCGGACCCTTGTGATCTTCAGCCCATAGTACTGCAAGGAATGAGGTGACACCCTTGAATCGTCCCCAGCAGAGATTCCAGGAAAGGTCACAGGGCCAGGTTCCAAAGCAGGTCATGGAGAAGGTTCTGAAGGAGAGGCGGCCCAGCTCAGATTTAAGAGGTTCTGGTTCCGAAGAGGTCCGGTCCTGGACTTTGCCAAGAGAAGTCCCCGCCCAGAGGGCATGCTTTGAAATGCCCATAGCTTAAGCCTTAAGCAGTCCTCTTAGAATCTTCGAGATCCTTCGGACCCGCTTGAAAGCTTTGGTGCGGGCGGTGGAGCACAGACAACCGATCATGATATGTGACATGTTTATCACGTTCTTTGCATTTCTTTGTCATGTCAGATGTTACCAAGAGTGACCGCAAGCAACTTCTTGGATGAACTTTGCTGTTGGGGGCTGTCATTACCATTAGGCTAATCCGGTCTAATTGTATCTATATTATGTTGTGTACATTGCATGCGTTGTTGCAATGCCCATCCTGAACACAACCTAGCAGACTGTTCAACCTGCAGCAGCCTAGGTCTTATGCTTTCACCTGGCCATGTGAGGAGATGTGCTGTTTGATCCCCAAAGAAGTGTCATTGGGCATCCATTGACCATATGGAGAGAAGCTGCTGACACATCGGAGTTTGCTGGGAGGTGTGCGAAAGTCCTCGGTCGAGCTGCCAGATGGTTCACTGCTGGAGTTCCACGATCAAGGCCACAACTTGAACAAGCAAACAGTGCTGTCAGCTGAAACTGATAGTTGTCAGAAAACTGCCTGATGTTTTGATGTGACATCGCAGGTGCCTTTGCCGCTTGGCTGAAAGCGACGCATGCAAGCAATGTCGCAAGGCTCGGAGTTGCACAGAATTGCACGCGGCAAACCTAGGCGCAGTCGGTCTATTCACCGGGCAAGTTGCAGTCAGCCTGGCTTGATGACTACGTGGATGTGCTTTCTGTCAAGGGCTTAAGACGATCAATACCAAACTCCTAGAGGTCCTTGGATCGGATAGACCAAGAACTCACGTCCAAGGGAGATAGCCCCTGCATAGGGAGGAAGCAAAAGGGGATACTCTACTAGCTGTAGAGCTTTACAGCCCACCTGCTTAACTGAGGCCGTTTGCCTCCTGGTCGAGCGGCAGGCAAAGACTCCCATGGGGCGCCTGTCGCTTAGCGAAACTTTCCAGTTTCGCGGCCTGCCATCTTGCCAAGCACTGCCTGTTTTGGCAATTTCTTTCGACTTGGAAGCCTTGGGCTCAAGCAAGCGCAGTTAGGAGATGTCAAGCTAGCAGCCAGCATTGCGCAAACATCCACAAGAATCAGAGACTACGAAGTTCAAGAAAGCCGCTGAAGAGTTGAAAGCAAAGTCAGGCATTTTATGAGAAGTCCACTTAAGAGTTACTGTAACAGAATCCAGCAAGCCAAAGTGCTTTGCACATTCCCATTTACAGCGTCGGGTGTTTGAGGGAGTTCGGCCTGGAGCGAGAGAGGCCATCGAGTCATTGGATCATTCCAGCGCAGCTGTAGCATTCAGCCTGCTTCAGCATTCATTTGTTTGCCTAGCTCCACACCCGATGGAGTCTTGAAGCTGCAAACAGCTCAGACTCAGCCTGAGGCCAAAGCTTGCTCAAGGCAAGCCTGTGCCGTTTTCTGCCTAGGCGGCAAAGCCGACCTGCCAAATCCTCTGCCATAAGCAACCTAGACCTAAACACCTTACGCTGTTTTTTGGAGTTGGGCTAGACTCCTACGTGCACAAGCATCACACACACATACAAAGTGTGAGCTCTTCAACCACAGAGCAGTGCAGAGCAGCATTGGGAACTTGTGATTCATTCGCCTTGCTTGGCCTCGCATGTCGGTTTGCCTTGACCGATCTATTTGACAGTAAGATAGTAAGGCACTGAGTTGGACACATTGATTGTGTACAACATTCGTGAGAGGTCTCTCCTAGGGGAGTCTTGTTTTGCGCCGAGGATCGATACTTTGAGGACTGCAGATGGTCCTTGGGCTCGTCATTGCAGCCAGATCGAATAGATCGAATGATAAGAAGGGGCAGCTTGGATTGAGAATAGGGCGGGCTATTCTAGCTCAAAGGCCGTGTGCCAAGGCACATTGATCTGAATCGAGACTTTCAGAGCGAACGAGACCATTGTGCTGACGTAGATGAGAAACCAGCTCCAAGACACCAAGGACTAAGAGGGGACAAGAGTCTGACAAGAGGATGAAGTTGGAGTCTTGAAGCCAGCTCGACTCAAGCTATGCCAAAATTGTTTCTCTGGTGGCCATGTCTCAGTCAACTGGATCCAAAGAGCCCACCAAGTCAGGGAGAAATTGCACCAACATTTGAAATAAAAGGTATTGAACAGAAACATGATAGGGATGTGCTGAGGTGTGAAAGCAGATTGTAACCCTTGAAGGCCGCTTCCCGCACGAACTCCGTATCCGCTGCGAGGTCTTCGTGGCGACGAGCTTTATCTGCAAAAACTTCGACTGCACTCAGCTTTCACGACATCCGTCAGGACCGCTCGGGTGAGAGCTGAGTTGCGCCTGAGTCGGCGTTCGCACCACAGAGAGACTTTCCCTGGCATTTCTTGTAAAATGGGTTACCGTGTCCAGAGCTGTCAGGACAATCATGCAAGCAGCAGTCAGGTAGCTTGGCATGTTGGTACTCTATTGCTGGTGAGGCTAAATCAACTCAACAGTGTCAGTAGGACAGGACCAATATATAAGGATCAAGAATCCTGACCAAGTTATGACGAGTTTTGGTTGGCAACAAGAATTGACGACAGGTTGTCGGATGGGCGAACCTGGAGAATCTCGATCGACCTCAACATGTCGAGTGCATCTGGGCTTGACGGATTGATAGGTGCTTGTTGAGTCCAGCCCTGACTACAAAACTCCTCCATGTCTTGAAGGCAACGCCAGTGGCGGCCCCGCAAGAACATGTATTGAATGAGGCAAGCAGCTAATTAAGCGATCACGTTTTATTGTGTGGAATTTGAGTCTGGAATTTCTATGTAGCTGAGGCATTGAATACATCTCCAGTGCAAGAAGGCACTACCATGAGGCAGTGCAGCAGGCATGGATCTGAGAAATTCAAGGTTTTTGATGAGGATTTCCCGTTTGAAATGCATGGAATTTCTTGTTAAAACCCTGTTGGGATGTAATTGTTGGCATTTTCATTCCCGTCTTGTCGTCCTGCCTGGCGTAATTGTGCACGTCGCAGATTGACCCGCTGATATCCTCCAATACGTCAGACGAGTTGCGTCTAAATGAGATACCTGGCTGCATCACGGATGGTTGATGTGTTCTTTAATTCTAATAGCTTTTTGTTACTAGTAGTAAGGCACTTGTTACTACTAGCGTGGCACTTGTTACTAGTAGCAACAAGAAGCTAATTGATGTGTTCTTCCCAGAGTGACTGCTTGGCAAGCCTTACCCTGACGCTGTGGTCTGAGGGAATTTTTTCAGCCACATTTGCCTGATGACCTGCTACATGCAATCGAACGAGAGCCACTTGGCAATCATTTTCTCGCACGTGCTTCGCGCACTGAGATGCCCACGGCTTTGCTAATTCTCTTATATAATTTTCAAATCCATTAGCCTGCAGCAATTTGAAGCACCGGATCCGTTTTGTGAGGGGTGTAGTTTGCCCTTGTCCTCAGCACTCTTTTCAAGGTTGAATGCATAGATTTGTGGTAATTGTTCTTGACATTTGCCGACAGGACCCAACTATATAGCTATGACGTGGACATGGCATTTAGAGCAAAGCCAAGGCATGAGGAGCTCATCCCTTACAAGGGGAGATATTTGAAGGGGAGGCCAGTCATCGAAGTCTTTCGATATTTTTGCACGATTCTGCAAGTGCCTGCACTGCAATGTCGGGTGCCCAATGTAGGCCATTGCATTTCGCGATATGGGTGGCATCATTGAACTCCCTGAGCCCTCTTGGCATGGATGGGCTCGAGGATCAAACGCATGCAACTGTTACTCCTACAGAGTTCAATGCTTCATGCGTCTCAGTTTTCAGCTGGATTGAATTGACAAGAACCAAGTCCCGCAGGATGTCAAGATCCTGCTGTGCCTCGCATGCAGGAAGGTGTTGGACGAAATTGTGAATCGCTAGAAACAGGATGAGGATATAGTTAGAACTCACCCTGGAAGCCTGGGAGCATACAAAACCACTCACCTCAACTTGAATTTGGAATAACACCTTCCCGCTCTAAATCTTGCCGTCGGGCAGTTTACAAAAGGTGTGCTATGTTGGAATGGCTCCTTCCTCGCCAAATTTCACCCTCGGGGGCGTGGAACCTCCGACTTCGAATGCGATCCCGGACTTGATGGATTAAAGGTTTGGACCGCTGTCGTGCAAAGTCACACAGGATATGTAGTACAGATAGTGTACAAATGTTGCAAGCCTTTGGCATGGAGACAGCAACTGGGCTGGACAATGACATCTCAGAGGTCCACTCTTAGAACTCACTTTGTCACCAGCAGCCAACTTCCATCACTTTGCAGCATGCACTCTGACCCTGGTGTCAGATCCAGAATCAGTGGCATCAGTGGCACAGACGCGACTGAATCTGAGGTGGGCCAAAGCAGAGCCCAACAGTTCGGCCACCTATACCCGCCGGAAAGAAGCTGCCCGTTCAAGATTTTGGCGCCATCGAAGTGTTGAGGGTGTGGTCCCTACTACTTGTAGGATGCCAAAGCTAAGGTTGTTGAGCTGCCGGCCTTGCATATCGCTGCTGGTTTAGGTTAGCATCTCAGAATGCTTTTCGCTGCCTGCTGCGGTGAAACTGAGCTGGTCAATACTGAAGAAAGAGGCTTTTACTACCGAGGTTGTATAGCGGCCATGGAGATGATCCTGGACTATGTAGATAGTCCTTCCGATGAAATCAATAGATTTTGTGGCTTGGAAGCGGTAGTGCCTGTGTGGCTGACATTGCGCATATCATATGCCACTCTTAATTGATTACAGGGCTTTGTATGGCAACTTTTTGGGCAAGGCGAACCCAATCATTCTTGCAACTGTGTGAGGCTTCTGCGGTGATCGAGAATTCTATTGTGCCTTGCATGATGCTGTTTTTAATGGCAAGGCCAAGGCGGGAGTTGTAGAATGCGCAAGTTTAAAGCAGTGATCGTGTGTGCCATGTGCTGCATACAGTATCAGATATCATATTCACATTTGCATGTAGCTTGCGTGTGCAAGTTTTATGTTCACCAAAGTCACCAAAATGTCCCACCCGGACCTTTTGGCTTAAGTGAAACTGCAGTGCCGTGATACTGCATTTGTGAAACGCGATCCCCCTGTCTTCTCAACAATACATGGCTTCGCCAGTGGATGCGGGATTTGCTTTGGTTGAGGTCCGCGATAGCACGGTTGTGGAGGGTGAGACAAGCTTGGCCCGGACACGATCTCCAGCCCTGACATGGACACCCTCAATGAGGAGGCAGACCCCTCTTGCCCGGATCTGAGGGTGTGGCGGCTGCCGACCTTGCTGCGGTGGGGCGCTCAATTGGCTGATCGACCGGCATGGAGGAGCTGAGTCTGAAGTTGGGCCCACCCACTCTGCGAGCCTCCGAAGCCCATACTAGTGCCCCTGGCCCGTGGTCGGCCCGTGGTGGGGGGGGGCCACTCCGGATGAGCCGGTGGAGCAATGGTCGGCCATGCCGGCTGCTGCGCGCTCCCACGGCCTTTGTGGCTGAGCCTGTGTCCAAGACACCGGCTGGTGGCCCAACCGGTTCGATTCAAGCCTTCGGGGCACCAGCCTCACATGTCCGCTTTGAGATGTTGCCGGACACCCTCTTCCATGCCAGTCCGGGCCACCTGATGCATGCTGCGCCTGACAGCGATGTTCAAAATGCGGGCAGCAACCTTCTCACGAAGGTGAATCTCATCGACTTCAAGCAAGCAATGCGGGCCAGTTGGCTGGAGGGCCAAGATCGTGGAACCACGCTGGATACCCTCAATAAAGGGCCACCTGGTCCATGCCCCCGCCACCGGACTCCATCGACGAGGACACCTACTCGGATCAAGAAAATGCCTTACGCAACGTGGATGAGCGTGCATGGTTCAAACGCCACCCTTATGGTACTCACCGACAAGACACGAAGCCGTGGGACGAATGGTGCTCACGCTGGCTCGGTCAGCAGAAACTTTGGTTCTATCGACAGTGGAACCACACCGGCAATCTACCCTTATGATCAAAAAACCTAGATAAGACAGTGTCCTCTTGAGCTCACCAAAAGCTCGCCCCAAAGCTCGTTTTCAAGCTCGTCTATTTTGGAAAAGTTCAACGAGCAGTTCGCAAGCCCAAACCAAAGTCCAAACCAAAGTCCAACCAAAAGTTCAAAGTCCAAGCCAAAGTCCAACCAAAAGTTCAACGTCCAAGCCAAAGTTCAACTAAAAGTTCAAAGTCCAAGCCAAAGCCCAACCGAAAGTTCAAAGTCCGATCAAAAGTTAACAGTCCAAACCAGTGTCCAAGCCAAAGTCCAACCAAAAGTGCAAAGTCCAAACCAAAGTCCAACCAAA